TAAGAACAGCACTGAGAAGGCTTCCTGAGGATGTTGTCCCAGAGGGGAGGGGAGGCCTTGGATTGGGAAGGGGAGGTTATTTTGGCCAACCTTAGATCAGCGTCAGGAGTCCAAGTGAGTCTGCCAAGGTCTTACTGTACGGTGTCTGTTGAGATGCATCCATGAGTCTTTACTGTCTGCTTTCACTTCTGTGTATGCAGCGCACGTTCACGATGGATGGTGTGAGTCCACGTGAAGTTGGAGAGGCAGAGGAAGTGAGCCTGCTGGTTGGAGGGTGGCTGCGTGGCTCGCTCAGGCCTCGGCTGACATTGTCTGGTTTCTTGCAGGCGGATCTGTGCACGGGACTTCAGGGTTTCCTCATCTTCCACAGCTTTGGGGGTGGCACCGGCTCTGGGTTCGCCTCTCTGCTCATGGAGCGGCTCTCGGTGGACTATGGCAAGAAGTCCAAGCTGGAATTTGCCATTTACCCAGCCCCCCAGGTTTCCACGGCCGTGGTGGAGCCCTACAACTCCATCTTGACCACCCACACGACCCTGGAACATTCTGACTGTGCCTTCATGGTGGACAACGAAGCCATCTATGACATCTGTCGGCGCAACCTGGACATCGAGCGTCCCACCTACACCAACCTCAATCGTCTGATCGGGCAGATCGTGTCCTCCATCACGGCCTCCCTGCGGTTCGATGGGGCTCTGAATGTGGACTTGACGGAATTCCAGACCAACCTGGTGCCTTACCCCCGCATCCACTTCCCCCTGGCCACCTATGCCCCGGTAATCTCAGCCGAGAAGGCGTACCACGAGCAGCTCTCGGTGGCCGAGATCACCAATGCCTGCTTTGAGCCAGCCAATCAGATGGTCAAGTGTGACCCTCGCCATGGCAAGTACATGGCCTGCTGCATGTTGTACAGGGGGGACGTGGTCCCAAAGGATGTGAATGCGGCCATTGCCACCATCAAGACCAAGCGTACCATCCAGTTTGTGGATTGGTGCCCGACGGGATTTAAGGTAGGACTGGGTGATGTGTAGTCATTGTCCTGTCCGCAAGCAGCAGACCCCCCTCCAGAATCCTGCTGTCCCTGACCCACAGCCTTTGAGGAACATATCTAATAGTTAATTTGCTAAGTGCTTTTCACTTTACCAAATTATGTACACTTATTTCTTACAATAACCCTTTAAATTCATGGGGTAGTATTACCAGCATGTGATACTTTAGAAGACTGAGGCTGAGGCACCTTTAAGTGCCCAAAGTTTGTGGCCGCAAGTGATGGGGATAGAATTCAGAGATGGTCTTAACTGTAGCCCTGGTCTCTCTTCCTCTTCCCTGTTACTGTGCTGCTCTAATGATCTATAAGGTTCTGTGACAGTAGTAGAAATGTTCGTGTGTAGTAGAAATGGTAGTTTTTAGATTTGACATGACTTTGATCACCTGTTACTGAATTTTAGGTAATACTAAGGTTTTGTATATAGAATTTTAAGTATGTAATGCATCATTTGCCATGGGGCAAGGATAGGTATCTTGTTTCTCTGAACTGGGTTAGGACTTCTGCCCCACATACAAAATTACTGAAATTTAGGTGACTCCCTTTGTCATCTGGTGCATTCCATAAATTGTTTTTTTTTTTAATGGGACAGGAGTTTGAATTCAGAGCTTCACACTTGCAAAGCAGGTGCTTTGTCATGTTTAATGTATAATGTTTAATGATATTGCAACCAAGGAAAAACAGTATGTATTTAAAAGCTAAATTATAAAATGTCAGGCTCTAACATCTATTGTAATTATCAGACCAAATGCTTCACCACATCATACCTGTGCTCAGTTCTGTGCCCACTGATTTATTAATAGCCCTTATCCACACTGTTTTTTTTGTCCCATTCCCTATCCTCCACCTTGTACTGGGGTTTGAACTCAGAGCCTGGAGGTAGGCACTCTGCCACTTGAGGCAGACCACCACCTCTACAATGGTTTTTCATTTAGACAAAGCTAGGGAATCACATTTGTAAGCCCTGATGAGTTCCTAAAGATGTTGAATGTTGCAAGTTCCAGGGTCATTCCAGATTGAAAGTAACATGAGAAAGTCACAGGAATGTGCATCTTCTTGTTCACATGTGGAATGGCCAGTTTACCTCTTACTATGAAGAACTTGTTAGACCCTCTGTCAGCCCCACTTTATAAAGATATCTTGACACAGACTAATGGTATACTTTCAAGTTGACAGACTTACAAGTTTAACTCATAGAAAAAAAATATAAAGCCTGTAACTGATTTCACCAAGCTGGAACTATTAATTAAATCTTACATAGGACTGCAGACCTTAAGAGGTTATAGGTTGAAACCTTCCAGGCTCTGGACCTGGTTATTAGAGGAATTCTTCTTTCAGTCAGTGAGATAGGTGAAAGGTAAGGACACCCAAGACAGTCTTAATTGGCAGATACTATGGGAAATGATGTGCCTTGCCCAGGTTTTCTCTCCTAGCAAAGTCTCTGGTTTTGTGAGCCAATAAGGAGGCTGGTCTGTGGGGGATTATAAATCACAGCCTCTCCCGTCCAGTACCAGATGGAGTCTGTTATAGCCTCCTTGCCTGAAGTTCCTTTTGGTCAGTCTCAGTGATTTACCACACATTCTTTTACAGCATAGGGATACACTATGCTTAGGGATATACTTTTTTCAAGTCTTTTCCAGGATTAAAAACTTACGGTTTTTAGCTTGGGGTTTTCCTGACTGGGAAGAAACCTGAGAGCACTCTCAAGTACTCAGGAGGCTGAGGCAAAAGGATATCAGACTTGAGGCCCAACTTATTCCACTCAGAACAGGAAGCTGGCAACACTGCCAACTTGGAAGGGCTGGTTGACCTGGCCCTAAAGTTGTGGGGGGCATGCCTTCATCAGGATGAGAACCCCTCGGGCCTTCCTCTGTGCCCCAACTCCTCTAGAGCCTGGCTGTATTCCTACCTAGCTCCTGCTAACTGCCATCTGCTCACCAAGGTAGGGCAGGGTCACTGCCCCAGCATAGTCCCAGGTGTTTATCCTCTGTTAGCTTTAACATTTCCCTTAGCTAGCCAAGTTTACTAATACATAGGTGTTCTTGTATTTTAACACAGAGTTCAACTCACCTTTTCCCTAAGTATAGAACAGTACCTTGGATACATTTATATACCACGTCAGGGTTCTCATTCTTTTTCAAGTGTTTCACTGTATGGGTGCATAACAACTTAACTGGTTTCCTAGCATGGACATTTATTTTCAGTCTTCCCATTACAGTGGTTCAAGTAAGTACAAAAAAATTTTCATACATACTGCTTTGTGCTTTTTTTGGAGGGAGAGAGGGTAACTGGAGTTTGAACTCAGGGCCTACAACTTGAGCCACTCCACCAGCCCTTTTCTGTAATGGGTTTTTTTTGAGATAGGGTCTCGTGAACTATTTTCCCAGGCTGGTTTTGAACTGTGATCCTCCTGGTCTGTGCCTCCTGAGTAGCTAGGATTACAGGTGTGAGCCACCAGCACCCACTTGCTTTGTGCTCTTTTGTGGACACATCCAAAAAGTGAAGTTACAGGGTCAAAGGATATTAAATGTTAAGAGGTAATTCCAAAAAAAGTGTACTAACAGTTTGTAAAGTTTAAACTGGGTCTATAGTCCCAGCTTTTAATAGCTAAACTTCACTGTATGTTCTCCTTCTCTGGCAGGTGGGCATTAACTACCAGCCCCCCACTGTGGTCCCTGGGGGAGACCTGGCCAAGGTGCAGCGGGCTGTGTGCATGCTGAGCAACACCACTGCCATCGCTGAGGCTTGGGCCCGCCTGGACCACAAGTTCGATCTCATGTATGCCAAGCGGGCCTTTGTGCACTGGTACGTGGGAGAAGGCATGGAGGAAGGGGAGTTCTCGGAGGCCCGGGAGGATCTGGCAGCGCTGGAGAAGGATTACGAAGAGGTGGGCGTGGATTCCGTGGAGGCAGAAGCCGAAGAAGGAGAAGAATACTAAGTTGGAGGGTGCGGCTGGGAGACGTTCCTTTGTTACCTCCTCCTCACTGCAAAATTACAGGCTATATTTACCTATTAAAATTTCTCTATTCGAGGCATTATCTGTGCTGTGTGCTGTACTTTGACAGAATTCCCTGGCCGTATACTTGCCTTTTCCAAGTGAATGTCTAGGGGAAGAAAAGAAAATTCCTTCCTAAGGAATTACGCATGTCTGTATGTTACTAAAGACTTCTAAACGATTGGATGAAGGAATTAGAAGTGCTTTATTTTAAATTTAAGCATTACGTCCGCCACACTTGGCTGGCACAGAGGTGGCTTTTTGCCATCGGTCTTGCGGGGGAGTTGGGAGAGGTTCGGCCCCGCCTCAGGCTGGTATCAAAAGCTGTGGAAATCCAGTCCTAACACCTTTTCTGCGGATGCCCTTAGCTTCTTCCCCCGCTGCTGCTGTGTTTCTGTCGCTACCACGTAACTACCTGCCCCTCGAGTGTGGGCCGCCACCCACCTCCTCCCTGCTACCGGAGTGAGCGATGTTTTGTTTTGCATTACTGGAGTTTGAACTCGGGGCCCTGCATTTCCTAGACAAGGCTCTCACTCGAACCTGCAGCCCTTTTGGCTTTCGTTTATTTTTCAAGTAGGGCCTCGGATCGCGATACCACCTCCGACTCCCGCCTAGCTAGGATTACAAGCCTGCGCCGCCACGCCCCACCACGAAGTAAGTCTGGGAACTGGCTTTGGTTGGGTTCTTTCACGCAAGAGTTACGGGGTTTCTCGGCGGTGGATTGTTTCTTAGGTCAATGGCCTTCGCAGGGCGGGTTACCGGTTTAAGAGGTTCGCAGGACACTGCACCTCCGCACAGACCCTCACACTGGGTCCGCTCCAGCTGTGTTTACGAAGCATCTTTCCACGAACAAAAGCCATGTGGGCAAAGGCGCGAGTACTCCACGGAGTTAGGACTACACAGGCGCGCGGGAGTCCACGCTCCGGCTACTTCCGGTACTCACGTGCTAGGCCCTCTTCCGGCCCCACCCCTCGGGGCGTGCGCCACCCACTCCCGAGTCTCTATGGTACCAACTTCCGCCGCGAGCCACTCCTCGCGAGACTTCGGCGGCGCAGCAATGGCGAGACAGTGAGTGCCGCTGACGGGAGGCAAGAGAACGGGCTGGGACGGGGTTGGGACGAGATCGGATCACGGGTGACCCTACAGGGCCAGGCCCTCTGGAGGGAGCGGGGGCCTTGAGGCGCGAAGCTACTCCGCCCGACACCTAGTTCCCGCCCCTTCTCCAGATGCCGCGTCACTGCTCCGCCGCCGGCTGCTGCACACGGGACACGCGCGAGACGCGCAACCGCGGCATCTCCTTCCACAGGTCAGCGCGCGTGCGTGCTGGTGCGTGAGGGCTCACAGGCGCATGCGCTGGCCTTGCCCACTGCTTTCGGTCGCAAGCGCTGGTGTAGCCCGCCGCTTTCGGTTGCTACTGCGCATGCGCCTGGCGCCTCACTCAAGTCCCAGTGAGGTTTGAACTTGGGAGTGGGAGGGTGAAAGGGGCAGTCCGGGTGGGATTGAATCCAGGCAGGAAAAGGACGGGACGTTTACTGGGCTTGGACTTGCTGCCCTCTGACCCTTTCCTGCTAGATGACGCTGAGCAAGTTGCTTTCATTCTCGAGGCCTCAGTTTCTTCGTGCCAGGGCGGGTATCCCGCAGGGTCGCAGGGAGGTCTCTTGGTGACTTGTACAAGGCCTTCCTGGGAAGCTTGGGCAGCTTGAGCCCACGGCTGCCGGCAGCCTGGTGCTTAGAGTTTATGGCTCTGCAGACTTCCCAAGAAGGACAACCCGAGGCGCGGCTTGTGGCTGGCCAACTGTCAGCGGCTGGACCCCAGCGGCCAGGGCCTGTGGGACCCAGCCTCTGAGTACATCTACTTCTGCTCCAAACACTTCGAAGAGAACTGCTTTGAGCTGGTGGGAATCAGGTGAGACTCCTCGCCAGCCAGCGCTGGGGCAGGGCATGGGGCATCTGAGCATCTGTGTTCTTGAGCAGCTGGCCTGAAGACAACCTGCCAGGCAGACCTGGTTCCAAGGGTGCTGTTTTCCTCTTCCCAGTTCTATACAGTAAAGCCCACTCCCAGGATCACTGTGCCAGTGACACCAGGAAAAAAATACCCTTCCCAGTGGGCGTTCAGTACCTAGTTCATCTAGCAAGCTCACAAATGAAAGAATTCTTTTTGGCTGGTCTACCTCAGCCCTGCAAGCAGAGCTTCCTATACCCACCTCAACCCTGATGAGTCCTAGACAGAAGGGATCAATGGAAGTCTACCTAATTTGGCATTCCCCAAACTTAACTGTTTGCAGTTGTACCTTCCAACTTCCCACAACCCTAGTACTGGGGAACCAATGGTGGGGTACCAGGAGTATGTCAGTCTGGGGAGGACAGCACTTGTTCTCCAGCTCATTTGGGCTGCTTTTCCCTACAGTGGTTATCACAGGCTGAAGGAAGGGGCAGTTCCCACCATATTTGAATCTTTCTCCAAGTTGCGCCGAACAACCAAAGCCAAGGGGCACAGTTACCTTCCTGGCCCACCTGATATCAGCCGACTCCAGCGATGCAGAAAGCGGTATGTGCTACAGACTGGGGGGAGGAGGAGGGGTGCTGTACTACCAACCCATTGCTGAGGTATTGGGCCTTAGGGTGTCTGCAGCAACTTTGCAGGACAGGGTTCTTGCCACACACACAGACCCTGGTGGAAGGTAAGGTATTAGGGAGATCAGGTGGGCTCATGAAACAGGGTCTGGCAAACTCAGTGTAATCCATCATTCTCTTCTCTTTCCTCTAGCTGCTCTGAAGGCCGAGGGCCCACAACTCCATTTTCTCCACCTCCTCCTGCTGATGTCACCTGCTTTCCTGTGGAGGAGGCCTCAGCACCTGCCACACCTGCCACTTTACCTGCCTCCCCAGCTGGGAGGCTGGAGCCTGGCCTTAGCAGCCCCTTCTCAGACCTTTTGGGCCCCCTAGGGGCCCAGGCAGATGAAGCAGGCTGTAGTGCTCAGCCCTCACCAGAGCGGCAACCCTCCCCTCTTGAGCCACGGCCGGTCTCTCCATCAGCCTACATGTTGCGCCTGCCGCCACCTGCTGGAGCATACATCCAGAATGAGCACAGCTACCAAGTGGGCAGTGCCCTGCTCTGGAAGAGGCGAGCTGAAGCAGCCCTTGATGCCCTGGACAAGGCCCAGCGCCAGCTGCAGGCCTGTAAGCGGCGGGAGCAGCGGCTGCGGCTGCGACTGACCAAACTGCAACAGGAACGGGCACGGGAGAAGCGGGCACAGGCAGATGCCCGCCAGACTCTGAAGGAGCATGTGCAGGACTTTGCCATGCAGTTGAGCAGCAGTATGGCTTGAGCCCACCAAGGCTTGGGCTTCTTCCTCAGAATCGCCTGGAGTGGAAACTGATCAGAACTCACCCACCAGACCCTCCAGATGCTACAATAAAGTGGATTCTAGAGAGGCCCTGCTGTCCGACTCAGCTGAGCATACCATCTTTTCCCCCCAGACAGTGGCCACAAGTCCTAGAGAGCTCAGACTTTTGGCTGCCAGGTGCTTAGGTATTTGTTCTTATTTAAGTGCCACACAGGTAGACAGGTGGCAACTACTCTGCCTGTGTAAGTCCATGCCCCAACAGCGTTCTCTGAAGGTACAGAATAGGATCAGCAGGCAGTGCCTGACACCCCTTTCCTCGAGTCCTAAAACAGTCTCAACTTAAGCAAGCTAGCCACTCTGAAACTGTTCATAAAACCTAGTCCAGACAATACTGGGGATTGAACCAGTACTGGGTTCAACAGGGCCTTGTCCATGCCTAGGCCAGTGCCCTGAATTATGCCCTCAACCCCTTTTTTTTTTTTTTTTTTTTTTGGGTGGGACTGGAGTTTGAACTCAGGGCTTCACATCTGCAAAGCAGGTGCCGTATGGCTTGAGCCCCACCTCCAACCCGTTTTGCTGTGGCTATTTTTGGAGATGGGGTCTTCAGAACGATTTGTCTGTGTTGGTTTCAAACCTTGATTCTCCCGATCTCATCCTCCCAGGTAGCTAGTTTTATGGATGTGAGCCACCAGCACCCCACCTGTTTGTTGTTTTTGAGACAGGATCTTGCTATCTTTGGCTTCAAACTCAAGAACCTTCTGCCTACAGGCTCCATCTTCCTGGTGGGTCAGGTGGATAGTTCATACACTGCTCACCATTGGACTTGTCCCCATCAGAAAAGAAGGTAAACAGCCAGGAGCAAAATCTCCCCCTGCTGCTCCATGGCCACATAGCCAAAGGTGCCCAACTGACTTTCTAGTCCCTGAACTAGCACACAGTGGTCTCAAATTTACTTGTTAGGGCCCTGTGTATATAATTTATATCATGTCTAGAAAAAAAAGAGTCAAGGAACCAGTTAGAAAGGTCAGCGTAGAGCAGGGTTTGCAGGTTGTTGCTGGTGAGGCTTCCAGGCTGCCTAGCCCCTCCACGAGATAGGGCTGCTCCAGGAATGGCAAAAGCCACATCTGGTGGAAACTGACTCTGTGGCACACCACAAGTGATTCACACCTGGCCTGCATGGTCGTGCACTCTGGGCTGGCACGCTGGATGCTGACGTCCCCCACTAACACCTCCAGCCTGCTGCCTCACAAGGGACTACCCTCAGCTCAGCCACCTGCTTCAACTCCTGCTGCACACCCCCTGCTCATTTTGCACCAGTCCACTTCCTGCTGGCTGGCTGGTTGGTTGGTTTTATGAATCTGCTACCCTTGTCTAAGGGCACCCAGACTGCCACCCAGGGCCCCCTATCTACCTGCATACAGCTACTTGGGGCCCCACAGCAAGTGCTGCAGTTATAGCTAGGCCATGTTTGTGTGGAAAGAAAATGAGCTCTAAGGCCAGGAAGAGAGCTGAGCCTTTCCCCCAAGGTGAGCTGCAGCTTCTTAGCAGAAAAGATAGTGGTTTCTGCATTCTTGTTCCCAGAAAGGTAGAACCATGCCTCTTGCATCAGGATGGATTCACACAGGAACTGCTCTAAGCTGAAAAGGCCTATTCTCACCTTCCAGCCCAGGCAAAAAGACACCCTGAGAACCCAATGGAGATGCACAGGAGTGAGGCAGGGCAGACCCCACTCAGGGCTCTGGAAGGGAGGCCTGGACACCTCCCACTGCCCTTCTCCCCCTTGTGACTGGTGGCCAGGTGGTGGTAAGAAGTTAACAACATGGATAGAAGAACAGGCAAGACTGTTTGAACTCATGTCAGGGGGTCTGCCATGGCATAGGGCTGTACAGACTAAGGGTCATAGGCCAGTGGTAGAAACTGCCAGTGAGATGTGTAGGTAGCACTGCTGTGGCTTTAATGGAGGCACGGCTATGACAAAAAATACCTGGGGTATTTCTGCTGACTTCTCCCTGACCCAGAAGTGCACACAGGTGGGCTGAGAACAAGTAGCCCCTCTGAAAGCCAGGTCCAGCCCAGCTTGGCTGCCCTGTGGACTGAAAGCGGTCCTCAGAGCTCTTTCCTCTTAGACCTACCATCTCCGATCCCCATTCCTAAGTCTGGTGGGGGTGTTCACTAGGGTGGTGTGTGCAGTCCAAGTTATTTTGCCAAGCCACCCTCCCTGTGCTGGAGAGATCCTGACAACAGGACCTAATGCCTGAATCCACAACACACCCAGGTCAGGGGGCAAGGCTAAACTTCCTAAAGCCCTTGCCCGGCCCCTAGTCTACACTCTCAGCTTCTCCCCAACTTTGAGGTGGTAAGACAGGTCCTCCATATCCTGTGGTGTTCCAGTCACTGAGCCCTCACCTCCCACCCTGGAGAAGGTACCAGCTGAAAAGGGGGGTGTTCCACTACTCCCTTAATGAAGTGAGGTATGTGTGGCTCCACAGCACCCCTCAGCTCCTTTTGGAAACTGGGCACCTTTGCCCTTGGCCTCACAGGTGCAACCACTCTGCAGGCATCAGCACGTCCAGGGTAGTCTGTAGTGTCCCAAGCGGGCAGGCCTCATCATTCTCCACATTGATGGGGTTCTCAGGGGGCCCTCAAATGTCAGCACCCAGCTCTGCACACTGTTTGTCAGAGATGTGGGAAGCCAGAGAGTCTATGATGTCTAGCAGCAACTGCTGACTCAGGGATCGCAGCGTGGGCAGCTTGGAGACCTGTACAAATGACCAAAACCAGATGGAACTAGACTCATAAAAGGGTGACTGGGTCCTCTTGGGGCCCCACCTGCTCAGGGCTTGCACTGGCTCCGAGAATGGGGTGAGCAGTGGCTAGTGGGTGGGCAGCTCTGCTTGGTCCAGTCTTTTCCCACACCCACCAGAGGCTGACAGGGAGGACAGGGACAGGAGTGCCAGGGAAGAGCCTGACCTTGGTGAATTGGTGCACGATGATGTGCAGGCAGTGCCGCTTCATGTCCAGTGCCTGTGTCTTGTCAGCTGCTTCCAGGATCTGTAACGGTAGGAACCCTGAAGCACTGCCCCACCTCACCCACCCTCGGTGGTTATGGCAAGGCCCACCAGCACCAGAGGCATTACCTGCAGCACATTCTGCACAGTCACATTCATCTCCAGGTTCTGCTTGCAGTACGCTTGCAGCCTGTTGTTGTAGAAGCCATAGTAGTAGGGGGCTGCAAACAGGTAGCTGGAGAAGGGTTAAGGAGCTGCCAGCCAAAGGAAGCCCATCTGCCCACCTGTCCAACTGCCCTTTCCCATCGTCCACTGGGAGGGTGCTGCCTGAGCCCTACACTCACCAGGACCAGGCTTCCAATCCAGGCCCAGACACTGGCTTGCTCTCTAAATAGGTTCTGAGCCATTTAGGGACACAAAAGCCCCATTCAGGGTCCAAAATGAGCCAGAAACCTCTCCTTCCCATATGCACATTTGCAGAGCCTCACTGCCCCTTGACAGGCACCCTTGCACTCCATGCTCAAACCCCATTAAAATGCGTAATGAGGAATCACCCCACGTTTGTTCGCCTGGCACACAGCAATGATGGACCATAGGGGAAGAGTCAAGAACCCTCCTGGCTGCAGATCCCTCCCTGCCAGCTGCTTCAGGGCTCTTGGCGAACACCAGGCCCAGCACTGAGCACTGGGGAATCCTCCGGAGTAAAGAACCAGGGCAAGACCGCCCAGCCAAGACGGGCCAGCTGGGCCCTGAAGCAACTGAGGAGGATGCTACTGCCCCTCAGGGACCCAGGAGCGCCGTCAGGATGCAGCGAGTCCTCAGGCGGCATGTTGACCTCGCCGTAGTAGATGTAGCGTAGCATGGATTCAAAAGCTTGCCTGCTGGGCACCATTTCCCCAATGGAGATGTTCACCTGCCCATCCTCAGGCATGAAGGACCGGAACATGGCTTCAAAGTAGCTGCAGATGGGGCGGCGGACACCCAGCTCTCAGGAAGGGAAAGCCAGCATCTCACCCTGGCCTTTCCTCCCTCATAGGTCCTCAACCCACCTAGAACGGGCAGCCAGGATGGCCTTGTGGGCTGGCCTTGGGTGGCCATCCAACAGCAGTGTGATGTCACAGAACTCTGCGCCTGCCCCCTCCAGATATGCCTTCATGTCCTGGATCAGAGATGTGCCTGGAGGGGTGTGAAGGACCTGAGCAGGTGCCCTGCACCCCATCCCAGCAGACCCAAAGCAAAAAGGGCTGCTTTGTATCCTGGCCTGGGGACCCCATACACACCACCTCTCCACATTGTCCTTGTTGTATCAAGCTTCCCTAGCCAGAAGTGCCACCAGCCCTGTTCTCTTCTTCCCTCAGCCCCCCAGACCAACTGGAGCATGGCGGCTCCCCACACAACCCTCAGGCTTTCTGCCCCCAACGGCACAAGTTGGTCACAACTTGGACCGCTGTGCCTCCTCCCAGCCTTGTGCTGGGCTCCCCTCCAGGCACATTTGTGTGGCTGCTGGTCTCTAGGTGTCACCAAGGGTCAGTGGCTGGGATGGGCACAGGCCCCAAAGAGAGGGAGGCATGAAAGAACCTGTGGCTTGCTTTCTGGACTGGGTGGGGACAAGAAGGCACTGGGAGCATAGGAGGCTGTAAGACTGTGCCTGAGAGAGAAGCTCAGCAGCTGACCACTGCTCATGGGTCATCAGACCTGATACCCAAGCCAGAGCCCTGCCCAGGTCACCCCCATAAACAGTTCACTGACACAGCCTGCTGTGGAAAGCCCTGCGGGTTAGGAGGTCCTCTGGGAAGACTACCTGCCTGTCTGTCCTAACCTTGTGTCCAGGAGCACTTTGGCCACAGAGCCTCCACCCCTTGACCCAAGGGCCTGGGGAAGCTGGTGCTCTCCATGCCTTCCAAGTCTCCTACCCAAGATGAACACCGTCCCCCCACACCCCAGGATGGGAACAGGGGCTCCCTACCAATGTCCACAGGCTGATCCGAGGAGTGCGAGGGGGAGGCTGCTGCTTGCGCCGTACAATCTCCACAATCAATGGAGACGAGAGGTGCTCAAACTCCTTCATCATGATCACCTGGTTGAAGTGGGACTCCTTCACCACGAAGTTCAAGCAGTGCTCCTGGGACAGACAGGCCCGGGCAGGCAAGGGGATCAGGCCAAGTCTCCAGGCTGGGCAAGGGGTTTGCAGTAGGGAACAAGGCAAGGACCAGGCCTGAGCACACTCCACCCCATGCAGAAGGGCCCAGGCTAGCAGTGCTAACCCCAGCCTGCACCTTGAGCTGGCCCAGCTGCAGCTTGGCAGCACTCTCGCACACAACCAGCACATTCTGCAGATCCACGGAGGCCTCGATGTACTGCCGACACAGCTGCTCCAGGCGGCTCAACTGGAAGCTCAGCGCCAACTTGTACACATCCATGATGAGCAGTACGTCCTCCACATGGCCTGTCCCCAAGAGCCCCTGAGACTTGGGGACCCAGAGCAGAGGGCCTGGGAACAGGGCCCAGGGCTCCCTCTACAGATAAGTATGGATCAGGGCTGCCAGGTGGCAGCTGGGCCACATGCCAGCTGCTCTGACCAGCGGTGATCAAGAGTGACCCTAGCCTGGGCCTCAGGGGATCTGTCTTTAAAGCAAGCCTAGTAGCACCTGCCTTGGGCTCTGCTGCCCACCCCACACCCTGATTCGCACCGCCTATACCCCAGGCGAACCTTTCCGCGGGTACTTGATCTTGTCAGTGTAGAGGAACAGCATGAGCACTTCAAAGGATCGAGCCTCAGCCTCTCGGATGGCCACGCGCAACAGGGGTGGCCGCACCCCACTGACAGCCACTCCAGGGGCCTCCCTGGGAGCTGGGACCACTTCTTCCTCCAATTTCTGTAGGGAGAAGGAACTCAAGGGTACCCCAATAGCCAATGGACACAGCTGCCTAGCCAGTGGCCCCAGGGAGACCTCACCTGGGCCTGCCATTCCCGCGCCTGCATGATCTTCCTACGTAGCCAGCGGCTCCGTGCAGTGACAATGGCCACATGGCCCTGCACACATTCTTCCTTCTGCAAGAAGAATGATATATGGATGAAGGACACAAGACCCATTCCCAGGGGACAGAGGCCAGCCATAGTGGTGAGCACTACTGTGTGACTAGCTTTGCCTCTGAGGGCTATGTTCCCATCCCTCACGCACTGCAGGCAGGGCTAGCCCGGGAAGGGCACTCACCTCCCCCAGCACAAACTCCACATCACAGAACTGGCGGCTTTCCCACAAACGCCCATAGTCTTCATGCAGCGTGCACTTGGGGTAGCAAGAGAACTGTGGAAGGAGATCCCAGTGTCAATCCTGAGTCCCATACTCCCCATTGGTGTGAGTGCAGGGCCAGAAGGCAGGCAGGACTCACTGTGAGAGAACAGCCACTCTGGGCCCACAGGGACTATCTGCTCTACCCTGCCACGCTTGCCTTCAGTGGCCCAGGCTTTGGCAAAACTGTGCCATCTCCTCTGCACCTGGACCCAGGTACTCGTGCTGGCCTTGCCCCATACTCCATCTCTCCAGAGACTTGTCCCTGACCTCACTATTCCCCTGGGCTCCTCCCCTGACCACCTGTTCTTCCAGACCTGGAAGGAGCTGCCAGGGAAAGCTATTGCCAAACCTACTAGGCCCTCCTCCAGGCAATGGGGGCCCTGCAGGCCCCAGGACTAAGCCCAGCTTTTCCTGGCTTCTTCCACCAGCTCTGCTGAAAGCTCCCTACATCTTCTCACCTTGCTCTGAAGCTAACGCTCCCCCATTCTGAGTGTCATCTCAGCCTGCCCTCAGCTCAGAGCCTCCCCACCCCAATATCAGACTTCTCAGAGAGGCTTCTGTCCTCCAGGCTTGACCTAGCAACAGGCACCATTGGACAAGCCCTATTCCCATCCTATGGGCCTTGGTTCCTAGCATTGGGACCCATTACCCCCACCAGCCTGATAGGTCCATGAGCTGCACACCTGGAACCTGTACATCTCTCCACTCCGAATGTTGTTGTCCACGGTGCCTCCAAAGATATACATGGCGTCAGAGATGACAGCAGCTGCATGAAAGAGTCTCCCACTGGGAAGCTGGGAAGGATGACAAGCACGCAGGGGTGATGGTGTGAAACAGGGCCTCCAGCAGTGGGGCTGGCTTCGGCCAGGCTGTGGGCAGGACGTGGCTCTGTGTGAACGTGAAGGAGAGGCCAAAGAGCCCAGTCCCTGGGGACAGAGGTTTTTGGGGTGTCCCACAGGCACAGGTGGCAGCCAGGTCATGTGGTAAGCTGTGCAGACCTCAAGGTAAGCAGAGTAAAACAGCCCAGGCTGCTCTCCTGGCCCCAGAAGGCAAAGCCTAGGAACCCAAGGCCATGGCCCAGCCAGCAGGACATGGGCTTCTGGTGCTGCATCTGCTTCACTCTGTGACCCTAAGCAAGCATTTCCGGGAGATTTAGTGTCCCCATCTCTCAGAGGTTGATCACAAGGCCTTACTGCAGGGGGATGATGGAGCCTGAACAAGGCTCTCTGGGCCTCACCTCTGAGGCAGGCTGGGTAGGCTGCTTGGCTGAGGTGGTGCCAAAGTCCAGGCCAAACACATCTCGGGACTTCTTAAAGCCACCCCGTTCCTCAGAGGTCAGGGTGAGCGCCTCCTCAGATGCAGAGGCCCGCTCAGGCACCTCAGCCCCACCAACCTGGTGGGGAGAGATAAGTGGGAATGTAATGGTCAACAAGGGCCCAGCAGGCTGCGCTACAGGCCATCATTCATGCCAGGTAGCACTGTGGGCTCCACTTTTGTGGAGGGAGGATCCACAAAAGGAAGGCTGGGAGGTGAGGCTGGCTACAGCCTAGGAAGTCTGCAGGACAGCAGCACAGGGCAGAAATGATGGGATGGGAATGTCAGACCCACAGACTACAAGATGAAGAAGAGGCAAGAGGCCAGAGGAGCTGGCCTTCAGTGCAGAGATCCCTGGGGATCCTGGCCCTGCTCCTCTTGGTTGCCTAGAGCCCTGGGAGCCCCTGAGGCTGGGGGTATAGATGGGGAGTTACTAGTACCCAGCCAGTAGGTCAGAACCCCCAGGGCGCCCACCCCTCATGCCTCTGGCCTGATAGTACGCACCTCACTATCGGAGCTGGGCTGCACAACTTCCCAGGTCTGGAAGTCCACATCGTAGCAGTGCAGCTCATTGGGCAATGTGTTGTCAGCAGCACCCCCAAACACATAGAGGTGGCGGTCAAAGGCCACCATGGTGTGTCCATAGCGCCGCTGTGGGGGTGGTGGGGAGCCCCGCAGCAGGTGCTCAGTAGGATGCGTGTCCACCTGAGGGTATGTGACAATGAACCACTACTGCTGGAGTGGGGACTCTGTTCTCCTGGCAGACTTCCAGCAATAGTTCCCCCTATAAAGTCCCCCTGCAGTCCCTGAGATGACCAGTCCAGAACCCAAAGGGAGGAGGGCCTGGGCATGTGTGGCCAGCATTTCTTGCCCTGTCTGTTTAGCTCTGGCACCAGCCCTGTGACCCACCATGGTCCAGCCCCCTGGCATCTAACCTTTCTGGCAATCTGCCGAGGAATGGAGTTTTATACAGACATGTGCAAATGTAGGTAGCTATGCCTATACCACCCACACAGCTGAGTCCCCACCCTGGAAGCTGCCTGGAACCACATCTTGATGCTGTTTCTACAGCACCTCCACCTTCCAAGGCTTCCCCTAACCTGCCACCCTTTTTTTTGTTTCTGTCAGAGGGTGGTACTGGGATTTGAATTTGGGACTAAACACTGTGCTCACTGCATTACCACTTGAGTAAAGTCCCCACCCCACAAATCTCTTTTTTTTTTTTTTTTTTGCTAAGTTATCTGAAGAATCAAAACAATTGCAGGCTATGCCACCTGGCTCTGTGCTGACCCCATCACTCAGAGGGTTGACTCTGCTCAGGATGCTTGGCCCTTCCTCTTACCAATCTCTGACCTGTGGGACAGCTCTTCCTCTTACCAATCTCTGACCTGTGTGGGACAGCTCTTGGGTCCCCTTCCAGGCCCTTGTTCCCTCTCCTCTGTTCACTCCCAGGGCCAGAGACCAGCCCTGTCACAGAACTGAAAGGCCAGACAGCAGCAGCATAGGCCAGAAGCTTTCAGGGCCTGTGCAACCCACCCATCTTCTGCCATCATATGAGATCTATGATAGCGACATTCGCTATTGGCCACGACCTACGCCCTACCTTGCTGAGCTGTAGTCATACAGCTGAGTAACTGTGTGGGGTACCAACATATCCCTCCTCCAGGCTGTCTGCTCCTGCTGTATGTGAAAGCTTGGGAAAGACAACCACAGCTTCCAGACACGTTGTCTGCTACCCTGTCCCAAGCGGGACACTCACGTTTTATCCTTGAATTCAAACTGGAAGAGACTGTTGGTTATCTTGGCTCCACTCTGCCCAGAGAACACAAACATCTTATCCCGACACACGGCCACGGGGAAGTTGCAGCAAGATGGCGGGATCTCGCCACTCTGGGCCACCTGCAGTGGGGACGCAGCTCAGCCCAGGCCCCTACAGAACTCAGAACCTGGGCTCATGCTTCCATGCACTTTGAAGTGGGATCTTTATTCTTAAAACTTCTTTTGTAAGTGTTCATAAACTAATTTTTTTGTTTTCTTTTCTCTCTCTTTTTAACTAATTTTTTTTTAACTGAACAATTTATAGTCCCATCTTACTGCTTACATGTGCCTAGCTTGAGCTGAAATCATAAGGCATAAAGCATCAAGGGCTAAAAGGAAGGAAAGCCCCAGGAAAAATTCCAGGAAGACAGTATGCAGCCCTCAAATATAGGTGGATTAGACTAAAATTACATCCATCCATCATGTGCGGCACTCTGCCCATCCAGAGCTCACAGCCTTTTTCTTTTCAGTTGTGGGGATTAAAGACAGGCCTTGCACATGCTACACAAGTCCTGTACCACCACACTACACCAGGGCAGGAGTCTTTTACTGCACAACCACTGGAGTTGGCCATGAGGACCAGCAGGAGGTCAGGGAAGGAGTGAGGCTGGACTTTGGCAAAGGGAAGAAAGTAGCTCGGCCAGCACCCCACCCACTCCCAGCACCCCCTCACTCCTATCTACACCTGGATTCTCTACACCCCCTCACCTCCTCCCAGCATGTGAGTTCCCGATCTTGGAGGCCGATTGTCCACATGTCGTTCAGCCTGCATCAGGACAGACAGGTCAGGATTCCTTGAGTCTGGCTGTCAGGGTAGGCCTAGGCCTGGCCCTAGCTAAGAGGGATGTAAGTCAGGGGATTCCTCCTGTGCAACCATGAGATCAGCCCATCAATAGGAAAAGAGATGCTATACCAAACCCCTGACCGTGACAGGTCCCCGGCTGAGCTTGGACAGGAGTAAGTAGTCTCATGCTTAACATCTGGAACCAGGGTCAGGGCCAGTCCCTAACTCGGCTGTTCCCCCAAGACAAGGAGACCGCCCATAACCCTGCCTGAAAAAAACCCCAGAGTGGTACTCAAAATCCACCAGACTAACCTTTCTCAGCCTGAACCCTCAATGCCAGGGAAGTTGGGCTCTGTACCCTAGGACATTCAGAGGTGGGTACATGGACTGGGCCACCACATACCTGGCATTGCCATCATAGCCAGCGAAGACCCATAGCTTGTCACTATACACCGTAGCCCCATGGGCTGACCTGGCAACTGGCAACCTGTAGTACAAAGGGGAAAGTGAAGAGTGAGGCTACCAGTGCAGGCCAAAGTATACAGCCCTACATAGTGACACAGAGGCCACAGCTAGGAAACTGGGGCCACACTGCCAGACAATGGAGTTCTGAGGGCCACAGCTGGGACACTGGGAACAAGCAATAGCACCAGAGGCTGATTTCATGAAGGCTGGGCAGCAGCTGGATAAAAAATTCAGATGTAGGGCTTGGGCTGTGACTCAGTGATAGAGCATCTGCTTAGCATACATGAGGCTGTGGGTTCCATCCCCAGCACTGAAAGAGGGGGACAGATGTCCACATGGGCACAGCATCCTCTCCCAACTGCTACCAAAATGTCAAAGGGGTGCACACAAAGCAGCATATTTGGGTCTCTTCTAAAAGAAGGTTACCTAGAGCAGAGAGCAGGGCAACTGGGAGTCGCTGCCCATGCACAGCTTTCGCTTGCTGCATGCCCTTGGGTCTCCCCCAGCCTCAGGCTCCCATCTGAAATGTCACAGGGGTCAGTCCCAGGCCCACTGCCACCTAGACCCTTCTTGGTCCCTCTTCAGTCTCAGTAAAGTCTCTTACCGTCCTTCAATTTTCCACTCCGTCCACTGGCCAGTTGCAAACTTGTATTCAAAGAGATCATTTTTATTCTTCAAGTTAGAATTGGAATAAATGTCTCCAGTATAGCCCCCTGGGTAGAGAGTGAAAGTGTCATAACCAGGGGACTACCAGAGTCTTCAAATGCAGGGCGCTGAGGCCACGTGAAATGCAAAAACCGGAACTCCATCCACAAAGCCCCAAGGCACCAACTGCCTGCCTTTACTGAGCTCTGGAGATATAGATATGAGCAGCACACTTTCCTGCCCCAGTCATCACAAAAGCAGACAACCCGAGCCCATGAGCTCAGGATGGCTTGGGAAAAGCACTGCCGCCCCCTGCCCCCCACCCCGCACCTGGTACAGGAATTCAGAACAGTTCAGAGAACCAAACCTGCTGGGCACAGGACATAAGGAGACCCATGTTGGGTGGAGGGTAGCAGGAGGGCAAGGCATCTGTGGGCCCAGGAGAGTCTGCTTACCAAAGACAAACATGCTGCTCCCATAGACGACAGCTGAATGGTGGTAGCGGGGGGCAGGTGGGGTGCCGGTGGTAAAAGCCCTAGAGTAGGCACAGGATGGATCAGCTAGTCAGTCCACGCCCCACAGGATGGCCTCTCCCTTTTTTTTTGATGTCATTTTTTAATTCTTTGAGATGGTGTCTCACTATGGTGACCAGGTTGAGTGTAAACTTGTGGGTTCAAGTGACCCAGGAACCCAATTCCTTTCACTTTTGTTATTTTAAAGGTCACACTTTTTTCATTATACAAACTTTTGGAACACCAATAAGGAAAAAACAAAGCAACAGGCATTCTTGTGTAATCCCATTGCCAGAAAACCACTGTCAACACCTGGAGATCCATGCTGCATACCTATCCTCACCTCTCCTAATCTATGTTTCTGGGGATTGGTGTGGGGGGGGGGCGGGTACTGGAGTTTGAACTCAGGGCTAGACAAGCATGCTACCACTTGAATCCTGTCTCCAGAACTTTTGGCTTTTCATATAGGGTCTTGAGTTTTTGCCTGAGCAGGCCTTGAACTGTGATCCTATCTCTGCCTCTGGGGAATTTTTTTTTAATGGAACCATGTGATGGATATTTTCTAATTTGTTTTTTCAACTAAACAGCATAATGTGCCAGGCACTGGTGGCTCACGCTTGTAATCCTAGATGCTCAGGAGGCAGAGATCAGGAAGATCATGGTTTGAAGACAGCCCAGGCAAATAGTTTGCAAGACTTTATCTAAAAATACACCCATCAAGCTGGGTGCAAGTAGCTCATGCCTGTAATCCTAGCTGCTCAGGAGGCAGAGATTAGAAGAGTTTGAAGCCAACCTAGGCAAATAGTTCATGAGACCCTATCTCAAAAAAACCCTCCACAAAAAAAGGGCTGGTGGAGTGGCTAAAGGTGTAGGCCCTGAGTTCAAGCCCCAGTACCAAAAAAACAAGAACAAGAAAAAAGAAAAAAAAAAAACAACCCTGTAGAATATACTAGGTCCTCATGCCACACTAGGGTCGTTTCCAGGAGCTGTACAGTATTCCGCAGTACGAGGTCCATAAATTTTGCTTACTGAATTAAAAACCCATTTACACTGCTTATCCAGGGCTGCTTGTTTTCTTGGTGGTACTAGGGTTTGAACTCAGGGCCTGGCGCTTGCCAGGCAGGTGGCTCTTACAACTCCAGCCACGCCCTTAGCCCTGTTTGTTTTTAGACACAGTCTCATTATGTACCCCAGGCTGGCCTCAACTTCATGATCCTCCTGCCCTAGTCTACTGAGTGCTGGGATTACAGATATGAACCACAATGCGCAGTTCTGAGGTTTGAACTCAGGGCCTACACCTTGAGCCACTCTACCAGCCCTTTTTTGTACTGTTTTTGTTTTTTTTTTTTTTTTTTTTAGATAAGGTCTCAAGAACTATTTGCCTGGGCTGGCTTTGAACCATAATCCTCTCCTGATCTCTCATTAGCTAAGATTACAGGCATGAGCCACCAGCATCCGTTTATACTTAAGCAATTTTTGAGAAAGAACTATGAAGTATTCACAGTGATTTTTGTGTGTATGTGTGTGTGGTACTGGGCTTTGAACTCAGGGTCTCACACTTGCTAGGCAGGTGCTCTACCATTTGAGCCATTCGGCCAGCCCTTTATTGGGTTAGATATTTTTTGAGATAGGGTCTCGTGAATTATTTGTCTGGGCTGGATTTGAACCTCAATTCTCCTGATCTCTGCTTCTTGAGTAGCTAGGATTACATATATGAGTCACTGCCAACTGGCTCCTCACAGAGATTTTTAAACTTAATTGAGGGCTGGGGACATTGTTTAGTTGTAGAGCACTTGCTTAGCATGCACAAGGCCCTGGATTTCATCTCTAGCTCCAAAAAAGGAATTAACTGTTAACAGTTGGCTGTACTATAAAGCTGAATGTTAGAAAGCATGTTGATGGCCACCAGAGCCACCAGTGCTGCTAGACAGAGAGTGGGTGATGTCCAGTAGAACTGCCCCATTTGGGAAGTCACATGATTTTCTGAGCCCTGACAAAGTCTCCTGTCAAAAGGGGACAATGAGACCCCACCCCCAGAGGGCTGCTGGGGACCAAGTCCACAGACCAGAGTGGGCTACAACAAGGGCTCTGGACTGTGTTCCTATATGCGCTGATGGTGGAGCTCAGGAAAGCCAAAATCTTCTATTCCTGGGGCCACATGTGCCCCTTAGCTACATTATCTTTTGCCTGAGGCCACACAACTGAGGAGGGCTGTGGGAGGGGCTTGGCCCACTACCTGTGGGGTCACCTGGCAGATGATGGGCCCTGTGGGTCAGGGGCAGGATAAGAAGCACTGGCTGCCAGCCCCTAGGTGGCACCCTGTACCAGCAAAGTCAGTCCTGGGAGAACTCGTAAGCCAAAACCCTGCCTTATGTGAGGTCCCATAGCAGCCCCTGGTGACTGAAGGACTCTCTCAGGGCAGAATTCAGATGCCCACACCTGGACCAAACAAATCCTTTTAGCTAACAGGATTCAGAATAATCAATTGCACTGGTGACTGGAACAAACACCCAGGAGAGGGAGAAAAACACTGAAAGGCTGTGGACATGGTACCCAAAGGCCCTATTCTTTCCTCCTTTATGCTTCTCTCTGGCTCTCCACAACTACCTGAATCTGCCAGCCACCCAGGCCCAGCAGCATGCTGGATGGAAGGGCAGGGTTCTGGAGCTCAGAAGGCTGCTCACCTGCACCAGGAACAGTCCTTCACATCAAACCGTAGGAGGTCATTGAGCATTGTCTTTCTGAAAGGCAGAGAGAGGGTGGCATTGGCTAGGCATGCTTTGTAAAGTGTTGCCCACAGGACCCTAGAGATGGGCATTACATATACCCAAGATTTGGGGCGGGGGGACAACAGGAAAGCTATTTTAGACTGGCTCACTGACCCTTGGACCTGACCAGGGCCAGGCAACCAGCTGATGACCAAAGGACAAGAGCAGTGACCACTAAAGAGGCTCCCCAGTTGATGTGGGCACTGCTTATACAGGCAGGGCCAGCCTGCCTGGGCTCAGGACCAAAACATGATCCCAGCTGCCAGAAACCCATTCCCGAGGCTGCCATGAGGGCATAAAATGGCCCAAAGGCCTGAGTCATCACTCACCCCTCACTTCAGCCTCCAGGCCCTCAAATCCCATATCTCAACCCCTCCTCTTATGGCTGCACCACCAAAATGAGCTGCTGGCCTGGATATCAGAAGAGGCCTCTCTCCTTCTCTCTGAGCTCTATGTTACCTCTTTATTTCTTTTCAGTACTGGGGTTTGAACTCAGGGCCTACACCTTGAGCCTCTCCACTAGCCATTTTTAGCGGTGGTCTTTTCTCAAGCTACTGTTCTATTTCCTTGTTCCCATTTTACAAAACTCCATGTTGCTATTGTCCAGTGGGAGCTCTCATATTTTTCTAAATGGAGGCTTCCCTGATTCATGAATTACAACCAACAACCAACAGTAAAAACATTTCTACTTATTGCTACACAGTTGTCTACCTGCTACAGTACACCTCTGAGGCTAGAAGTTCCAATCTCCCACCCATCTTTTCTGGTTTAAGGGATTCTTGTTAAGGCTCCAGTAAACATCCATGGGTAGATGCCTATTCCCTTATTTTGTTCCTTCATTGGACAAACATTTATTGAGAAATCTGGGTGCTATGATACATGGGTTAGAAGCACACAGGCCTTGCCTTGGCAGAAGAGACCGATCATAACCAACACCTGTGTACTTCATCAACAAATGGAGGGAGTAAGAGGTGAGGGAGTGAAGAAAAGAAGCACAAGGAGTATCAGAAGAGAGGCAGGAAGTGTGGGAAGAAAGGAACAGCCAGTAAAAAAGACTGAATAACAGGGTGCTTGGAACAATCCAAACAAAGCAAGGTAGCCAGTGGTGGCCAACTAATGCAAGGGGATGCAGCAGTGGAACAGCGGAGGCACAAGTGTGTAGGCCTCAGGGACTGTCATGAGAACAGATGTGGGGAGACATCACAGAGTTATAAGCTGAGGAGGAACATGCTCTGACTTGCACTTGTAAATGGATCCCTCCAGCTGCGTGAGGAAAGAAACTGTGGAGATGAGCTGGATGCCAGAGGATCACAGCCAAGGAGGCCCTTCTGTCCAGCCTGCATGTCCTGAATATCCCACCTGCTCCAAGTCAGGACCTTCCCCCTGGAATTCCCACTGGACCAAAGCTGTAGTGCCCTTCCTGAAGCTGGCCTCAGGATAGCTTGTGGAGCTGAGAGGCAGAATTAGGCCTCATGGGCAGGATCAGTCACATGTAAACAAGGAACCCTCAGCACACGGAAAACAGCTACAATTGAACTGGTTCATGTGAATGAACATCAGGCCATTTCTGGAAAGGTTACTTGCCAGGAGTTTATAGCAACGCAGGAAAATCTTCATAAGTGAAACATGCAGGAAATAAATAAAACTCTTTTCTTCACATCTTTTGGCTACAAGGTAAGCATGTGGACCAAGCCCAGAGGAAAGTGTAGGAGAAAAAGAAAAGCGTCTGGCAAGGACGGTAGTAAGGGTGGATGTGGGTTTGTTTTGGGTTTTTTTGGTTTTTTTTCAAGGCTGTGTCTTATTCACTCAAAACAAGAGGGATATTTCCATGTACTTAGCCCTCAATGCTGAGGGCCTTGAGTGTATGATCTTATTAATCTTCATCATGACCTGGAAGGTAGGTGCAGGGAACCTCATAAATGAGGAAACTGAGGCTTAAGAGTGCTTAGCTAATGTCTGGAAGGACAGTAGTGGAACTTTACAGGCCCAGTCTCAGGCCACAGTGCTAGCCCAATACCCACCCAAATGCTCAGACTCACCCATTGTCTCCACCAAATACGTAAATGGCATCTTTATATGCCACCACTGTGTGCTTGCTGCGCCTGGAAAGAAAGACGGGGTGGAGGGTGATGAGGATCCTAGTGGGAGGCATTTAAGGAATGGGAGTACACATGGGGGCTGCCACAGAAGCTGGATGATTCCTGTCAACTGCCAAGATATACAGAGACCCTTAAATTATACAACATCCCCAAAGAACCCTGCACGTGGGGATGCCTATCATTTCCAGGGGACCCATTACTAGATCTCACCCCAAAACACCACCCCCAGGCCTCGCCCCTAGACCCCGCGTTAGGGGGGGTCCCCTCAAATCACATCCCTGATCCCCGTGCCCTCAGGATCCCCTGAACCCCGTCGTACCGGGCACCCACGAACTCGTCGCAGGGGGGGAGGCGCCGCCAGCGATGCACTGTTTCGAAGGGCCCGAAGTTGAGCGTCAGGTACTCGACACTGTCTGAACAGCTGTGATCAAAGTCCACGCTCGGAGCTACCTTAGAGCGCGCCCCACCTGCCAGGGCCCCGGCCCCGACCGGAACCCCCGAGCCACCCGGTCCAGCCATCCCGGGTCCACGCCCGACTGGCAGCCGGGGCCGCAGGAGTTGTGGCCACCGCCCCAGGACGCCCGGAGGGACCACATTTCCCAGAGAGCTCTGCACCAACAGAGAAGCACTTCCGGCCAGCGCTCCACTTTAGGCAGCCCGCACTTCCGGAAAAGGCTAGAGCTTCCTGTGACACCGCGGGGAAGCCCGGAATCTGGCGGCTGACCTTGCGGCAAGCGTGTAGTATTCCGAAAAACATTTGTGGCGAAGCGTTGGGCCCGTGTTCCCCCTGCCAGTATATGAGTCGCAACCCCCAACTGGACTGCACTTTCCGGAGCCTACCGGGCCCACGCCGCCCAAGGGACCCTCAGCAGCTGCGGGCCCAAAGTTCCCGGCATGCCTTGTATCTGAGCGTGGCTACCACCTGCATTGTCCGCCGCTCCCGGAATCCCACATCGGGTTCCAGGCTCAGGCAGTGCATCTCTCCTCTTTCTCCCTTCAACCCTGGCTCCCCTCGCCCCTCGGCGTTCTTATTGGCTAGGAAGCAGCGCGAAGCCTCTGGATTCTCTTTCCCACTTAATAACAGAGACTTCACCTGTGAAATGAGGATTCAAAAAGCTCCGGCTGCTATGAAAAGCATGGGGTCTTTCTCAGGACCGGCCTTCTACAACCCCTAAGGGGCAGGCACATGCCCACAAAGTGTCAAGCATGAGTTGCCTCTGACCTCTGAAGAAGCATTTCTCTTTCAAAGCCCTTTTCACGTGCCATCCCTTCTACCTGGAGTGCCATTCCTTCAAAATCAAGACTCAAAGGCACTTGCTAGAGAAGCCTTCCCTGTCCTTGGGGTAGGAGGGAATGTGTTGTTAACCTCCTCTGCGTACTCACAGGCCAAATTTCCTTGGTTGTGCCTGTTTCCCATGTGGTTTGCTTTTCTAGAATGTTTGTCCAATTACACTGGGAGTCAAAGAGATCTGCAAATGTGTGAGTTTTAATTTTAAGATAATGTCTAACATGTTGCAGGGGCCTCCTGGGGACCAGTCCCAGCAGAGGGAAAAAAGGCAGAGCCTGTCCTGCCTCCAGTGCCAGCTGTCAATGGCAGCTGAAGCCTTAGGGGTTGAGCATCTTCTGGAGGCAGCAGAGGCTTCTCTGGAGGGGAGCGAGGCAATTGAAGGCAAGCATTGGGAGGGCTCAGATTCTTCCCTGGGGGGTCCTGGAAAACTGGAGATTGGCACCTGCCCCCAGGGCTTGGCCTCTGACCCTCGTGCCCTAGTGCACCTGCCCAAATCCACTGCATGCGAGCTCAGGATCCTTTCCCTGTGAGCCAAGACATGTCGCCAGTCCTGCAGGAATGAGGGGAGGATGGGTCAGGGCAGAAGAGAGTAGGTTCCCTGGTTTTCTGGGCAGCTGACTTTTGAGGACAGCAGGGGCCCTGCTCTATGTCAGACCCTAGAGCCCAGAAGGGAAGTGGACTTGGAAAGATGAGGAATAGATCACTGGGTGGAGTTTCTGGGCTGAAGTGGGAAAAGCTCAGAACAGACAGCAGGAAGGAAAGAGGACACACGTACTTGCTGTGCAGCATAAACAACCTTTGCGAAGGCAAGAGGGAGAAACAGAGGCCAGGGAAAGTTCATGTCATTCATCATGTCTACTCTTAGTCCTCCATTATTTCCAGCTTAAGGTCTACCCGTCTCATGACTTCTAGCCTCCCACAGGCCTCTAGGCTTTCCCCAGTCCCTGGGAGCTGTCTGTACACAGGTTAAATGTGAGATTCTATTTGGAAAAAAAAAAAGGCACAGAGGACTCATTGATACCTTGATGGGATGAAAATAAGGGCCACTGTCTGGTACCTACTAGATCCCAGACAACTACCCCGCATCTCAGTGCAGGGTCACTGATAGCTGCATTTCCCCCCATTTAGCTTCGGTCAGTCAGCTCAGCACAAACATGTCTGTCAGGGGTCCCAGGCCTGGTGATCACCCAAGCAGCAGGACTTGACTCTTCCCCACGTCACTGGACCTGCCTTGGGACACATACCCCTTTCCTGTATGTCCCCTGTTAGTACCTGTCTCCAGCCTATTCCAAAACCACAACCCACACTTCCCAGTAACTCTGGAAACCTCAGACTGATGGAACCCAAGAGTGAGGAGAAAGGACCTGGAGGACTGTGGGGGCAATCTGACCTAAACTTATGGGGGACTTCCTCCTCCACCCCAAGGCCTCCCACACCCACACTCACTCCACCTCCCGCTTCCGGATGGCGCGGCCTGAGGCCAGCACCTCAGCCACCTTGGATACGATGGGATCATAGTTCATGCTGGCCACAGCGATCACCTCGTCGCCTCTGCAGAGAGAGGGCAGCTGAACATGAAGACTGCCTGGCATCAGCACCCCCTTCTTGAAGACCCTGATACCTTCCTGTCCACTTGGGGCCCAGAAAGGGTTCTCACCAGGGCAACTCAAAGAGTGTCTTGAGTTCCAAGCTACAGGCTTTAGGATTCCCTAGGGAAGCGCTAGTCCTCAGCAGTACTCAGGACTAGGGGCCACTGCCCTAGCATCACCATTTTCTACCTGCGTGACTTTCCTCCTGGTAAAAGTAGGGTAAATACCCACCTCAAAGCTCTGTCCAGAAGATATTTTACAAATGTTTGGCTGATGAGTAGCAGGAAGAGTTCTCACTGCCCCTTCCTCACCTTTGCTCTGCCTTGCTTCCTGCCCATTTGCCTTTCTAAGTTTCCTTCCTAAATTCCCTCCCTAGGAGCAGAGCTTTTCTGGAATGAGCCTCCCTTCACGACCAAGCTCGAGCTGCTTCGCGCTCCCGCTGCACCCCGTTGTTCTCACTTGGTGTAAAAAGCCACAAACTTCAGCTCCTCCAGATCCCCCTGGATGATGACGTCCTCGAAGCCTTCTCCATAGCCTGTGGGCCAGGCAGACGGGTGGCGCCCACGTAAGCCAGGGAAGGGGGGATGGAGGTTTCATAGCTCCCCACCTGTGCCTTCCTAACTTCTTTCTGGACACCCCTCCCTGTTCCCGAGCTCCTTTTAGGCAGCTCCTAGCCCGCCCAGGTTGTTCTTAGCTGCCAATTCCTAGTGCGGAATTGGTCCCGCCCCTAAGATTCTTCAGGCCCCGCCTCCACCCAGGCCCCGCCTCCAGGCAATCTAAGCCCCTCCCCCCACGCGACTCCTGATTACCTGCGTAGCGCAGGCTCTTGCCGAACATAGCAGTCCACAGGTAGGGTACCGTGCTGATCTCCGCCTCCTGTGCCAGCATGTTCTGGGCTGCCACGCGTCCTGTGGGGCCCAGGGCTGTGAGAACGCTGACCCTTGCCTTTACCACCCCCACCCTGCCTACCCTGGCGTCCTGGGGATCCCCTGATAGGTATGGCTATTCCTGGACTCCCCAGAGATCAAGTGCATCTGGCTCAGCCCATGGTCCAGGCGCAGGTGCAGCTGACCGGTACAGAGAGGAAGCCCTGGCTTCTATGGAGAATTTGAAAGACATGCCTTATGTCTGGAAGGCCTGCTTGTTGGAGCTGTGAGGCAGCTTGACCATTTCAACTGTGCACACAGACAACTACTCAGACACATTAGGTCTAAAGAGGCCAGGGAAGCAGAAACGACAGCCATATTGGAGGACCTAGAGGGAACAGCATGTGAGATGTGTGTGTGTGTGTGTGTGTGTGTGTTTTAAACTGGACCTGCCCAGTTAAATTCTAAATCCTAATTATATTTTGTGTGTGTGTGTGTGTGTGTATGTGTGTATTTTAAACTGGACCTGCCCAGTTAAATTCTAAATCCTAATTATATTTGGCCAAAGAATGGCCTTTGGTTCCTTACAATCTAACAGCTACTTTAGACCTTGAACATGAACAAAGATTGGTACCAGGAGTGGGGTTTCAGTCAGCAAACCTTCAGATAATATTGAAGGCAGAGAAAAGGTAAGATGGGTACAGGGGAGAAGTCCCCAGACCTAATAGTCTGGTGGTTCTCTCTCTGAGGCCCTGAGCTAGGTAACTTACTGGCATGTGCAGCTTTGGGCCCAGCCCAGGGGTGTGCAAGTGGTAAGGCTTGGGGAACTTGGTGGGCACCAAATATGGAGAGGGGAAAAGTATTCACAGAAAGCAAAATGTCCCCACTGAGCTTGGACTAAGTGGCCACTTCCAGGAACCTGCAAACAGCAACGGAGTTCACAGAAATAGTTGAGTGGCCCAAGAGAGAAAGAAACCCTAAGTGGGAAGGTGACCTACCAAATCCCTCTCTCTCTCTCCAGAGGGACTGCACAAGTTGGTAAGGAAGTCTTTGGAATACATACCCTTGAGAGCAAAAGGAAGGGCTAGAGGAACAGCTCAAGTAGTAGAGTACCTGCCCTGCAAGCTCAAAACCCTGAGTTCAAACTCCAGAATTTTAGAAAAAATTCTAAAGGAAAGGAGAGACCAATGGAAGGACAGCTAGAGTGACAGGTTGTGCCTGGCTTAATGGGGTACCCAGAGAGTACTGGATGAAAGTCTGTGGAGATGGAACATAGGACTTACTCTGTGTGCTGGTTTGATACCTAGATGAGACTGGCCAGATAGGCCACCCCAGAGCATAGGATCCAGGACCCCCAGACCAGCAACTGAGGCATTGGCTTGGGGGAAGTTCAAATCCTAAGATAGCCTCCCACCCCTCAACTTCCTTCAGGGCTGGTCATACCTTGGACATGAGCCATCTGCCAGTGTGGGATGTTCACTTTCCGGTTGTTCCTCCAGGCAAGGGGAAAGGTGACAGCATCACCGGCTGCAAACACGCCTGGGACGTTGGTCTGCATCATCTGTGGGGAGAGGGTTCAAGGTGCCATGGATGGCCTGCGGGCTGACCTGGCCCTCCAGCCACCCCCAGACCAGCACCCTGCCTGACTCACAGCCTCACCTTGTTGACAGGAATGAAGCCTCGGGAATCCAGACCAATGCCACTTTGCCTCAGGAAGCCTGTGGCGGGCACTGCACCTAACAGAACAGAAGCCAGTATGTCCATCCCCTGGTTCTACCCTTTTCCTGTCTCATGGTTCTCCATGCCCCACACCCTTCACCTACTGTTCCTGCCCCAGACTGATCTTGATAGGCTGCCCATCTGGGATCTTCATGCATTCTGTTCCCTCTGCCCATAGCTGCCCCCCTCAGACTCCATGCCTCCCATTCAGCCTTAGATAGTGCCTTCTCCAAGAAGTGCTCCATGAAGCCCCCAGCTGGCAGTCAGTCAGCCAGCCATGTCTCTGCAGCCCCATGCTGCCACCTCCCACCTTCACTCCTCCCCAAACTGCCACTTCAGCTGGAGTAGGGACCAGTTTGAGGCTGTCTGTGTCCTGCAGCCCACACAGGGCAGGGCATGGAGTTGAGTATCAGTCAGCAGCAACCACTAGGTGCATACTTCATGCCAGGCCTGGGCTAAGCCAGATACCGGTTTGCCAACAGCCCTGTCAAGGGGGTACCATTGAGGTCTCCTTTAAAAAAGATGTAAAAAATGAGGCTCAGGAAGAAGGGACCAGACTGAGTACACCTACGAGTGCATGTGGGTGGCTGTGCTTATTTGCACCTGCCTCCCAACCACTCACCAATGCCCACCACACAGACGTCAGCCCGAAGGACCTTGCTGCTCTTCAGTACCACCTCCTTCAGCTGTAGGGAGTGGGTGGGTGTGAGCAGGGGCACCCAACTCCTGGGCACAGGGAAGACAGGCCACAGCAGGGAGGGAAAAGGGCCCACCTTTCCTTCTTGGGCCCTGAGCTCTGACACCTCCGTCTGCATGTAGAATTTCACCCGGTTGTTCTCAAACATCTGTCAGGACAGGTGGGTGGGTAGGCAGTGGGTGAGACCTGGCCAGGGGCTAGGCTGGACACCCAGAGTTTCCAAGAGGCTGGGCCCTGGGATGGGCTCACCTTCATGAGAGCACGACCGACGCGTGTCCCTAGGAACCTCCGGAAGGGTGTCTCTTCCAGCTCTACCACGGACACAGAGTGGGCCTTTTCCGTCAGGTAGGCAGCCACCTCCATCCCTGGGGTGGTAGGCAGTGGGTGGCAGGGCTGGCACTCTGACCTCTCAGGCCTTGCGTGCCCTCAGACTGGTATTCTGGTCTGCCCACCACCCTCAACAATCGCAGTCGCTCACCCAGGAAACCAGCTCCCACAATGACTGCATTTCGGCCCCGAGCCAGCCTCACCACACGATTGGCATCCTCAGGCGTCCTGATGGTGAGCACACTCTCCACCTCTTTGCCTTTGCAGCTCAGGGTCTTAGGGCTGAGACAAAGCAATATCAGTGAAGCCCTCTTGGCCTGGCTAGTGCTCCGCCCAGTGTCCCAGAGAGGACAGGAGAGATACCCTCCCAACCTGCTCCCTGGTGCCAGCAGCAACTTGCTATACTCCAGTTTGAAGCCGTCCTTGAACACGACCTTCTTGTTTCTCACGTCCACTGTGACCACCTGCAACCCCCACCGGGCAGTGTGAGGCCTGGCCACGGACCTGGACTTTGCTGCCCATTTCTGGGTCCCACAAGACACTCAGCTAGGCTCTGAGCAGCCATGACAGGGGCCACTCCCATAGCTGGGGCTTCATCCTGTAAGCTTCAGGGATCAGTTGCCCCTCAAAGCCCTCTTTACATTCCGAGTCCCTCCGTGCTCTCCCATTCCAGTCTTGATCAGATCATCTGTCTCTCCATAACCTGAGATCTGCATGGGCTCATGTCTCTGCTAAGAAGACCTAGTGCTATATCCCAGGCCTGAGTAGTGGGGCCAGAGGGCAGAACACTTGCCACCTCCCAGAGGCCTATGTGGTCTCCTGCTCTTTGTGGTTTCCATAACCCACCCTCAGCCCGTTTTCTATAGCCTCATACCTGGGCCTCCATGAGCACCTCGATGCCATAGGCCCGGAAGAACTCCTTGGGCCTCAGTGCCAGCTGCTCAGGCTGTGCATCCAAAGACTGAGGGACATGATCAACTTGAGACAGGGCCAGATGGTCACTGTTCCATTTCACAGCAGAGGATACAGAGCCCAAGGAGGGTGAGGCCACCCCCCAGGTCACATAGGGGCTGCAGAACAGAACTCCACAATACAAGATCTTTGGGGGGGTGGCGGTACCACATATGAGCCTGGTATGAGTAGAGAGGGCAACCAGGCAGACCCCTAATGGTAACAAGCAAAGCTCCAAGGAGGCCTGACAGGGACCCAGCCCCTGCCCTGCACTGACTGTCTCTTGCCTGCTCCGCACCCCTACCTTGCTGAGCTTGGGACGATCATAGGGGAGATGCCTGTCCAGCGTGCACAGGACGATCCGGTCAGAGAAGCCCTCCTGCCGCAGTGTCTCCGCACATACCAGACCAGCAGCACCTGAAGGGAGGGGGCTGTGGCCAGGAGCCACTTCTCTCCCACCCTCTGCCCTGCCCTTCATGACCACAACACCAACCTGCACCCACAATGAGCACGTTGGTGCTGCCACTGTGCCCAGCACTTGGAGAGATGCATTTGGCCATAACCTTGGTCCTTCGCTGTAGCTGCAGGGCCTAGGTGTGGCAGTAGGGTGGAGGCAGCTGAGAATTTGGGTCATCCCAGCTGGCTAGGTCCTGCTGCTCTAGCCCAACCTCATCTTCACCATGCAGCCTCTTTCTCTGCTCCCATACCAGGCTCCCTCCCACCAAAGAGCCTTTGCATATGCTCTTCTCTGAGCCAAGATGCCCTCCCCACCTCCGCCCAAGCCTGGGCCACCCCTTTACCTGCTTGCTGGCCCGAACGTACACCTTCTCCTTCTCAATCTTCACCTGCAAGGGCAACATTGCAAAGGACCAACCTTTGGGGGGGCTCCTTTCCAAGTCTGCACCTCCAGGCTTTGTCACACTGCACTCCTAGCCTCACCTGGAACTTGTGCAGACTGTCCAGGCCTGGGAAGTCCTCCAGATCCCCTGTACTAATGTTGAAGCAAGCACCGTGCCAGGGACAACGCACCTGGCCCCGGGACAGCACTCCTGGAAGAGGGTGGTGCCAGGTTGGAGCAAGGAGCAAGGGCTCCTCTCCAAGGATTCCTATGTCCCAGCACCTGCTGATGCCCTACACAGCCCAGGAAACCCCAGTAATAGATGAAGGACCCTGGGGCCAGGAGGAGCCAAGCTGACCTGCTGGTGCAGGGGCATAGACAGTGCAGCAGCCAGGTCTCCCTCAGCAAAGTCCTGACCCCTCCTCTTACGTGCATTGGGACATCTCACCTTTCACCAGGGGTGCTCCGTAGTGTGGACACTTGTGGCCCAGGGCATGGAATTCCCCATTGTCCTTCACCAGCAGTACTTTTCCCCAGCCTAACTCCACTTCCCGCATCCTGGGGAGGGGCTGCATTCAGAGTTCAGACCAGACACCAAATAGCCCCCTGCAGGTGCCTGGTACCTGAGTCCAACCTTCCGAGGGAGTAGCCCCAGACAAGCAGAAGCTGCAAAGGCCACAACCAGGGCAGGACAGTCCCTTCCACTCCCCCATCCCTGCTCACCCCTCATCCATGGCCTCTACTTTGCTCGCCCACCTTTAGCCCTCTGACCCCCCCCTCCCAGATCCAGCACCCACTGGCCATTCTCGAGGTCCTTGACATGGCAGACGGCTGCCTCCACGCAGTCCTGAGGGCTGGGGTAGGGAGCAGGCAGGCGCTCTTCAGTGTGGAAGTGGCGGGCTGTGCCATTGCCTTGGTAGGCCCGGGGGCTGCCCTTCCCACTGGCTGACGGTTCCTCTTTGCCCCGCTCCTTCTCAGGCAGCACCACCTCAATCTTGAGTTCCACTGTGGGCAGGACCATGCCATGAGCCCTTCAGAGTGCTGAGGGGCTCAGCCCTGTTCCTCCCTCTCCTCAGGAAGCCCTCTGCACCCCAGCAAAGAGGCAGAGGAAGGAACAAAAGAGGGAGATTTCTAGGTCTGCTTGAATTCATCTCTGAATTTTTTCTTCTTCTTTTTTTTGGGCACTGCTGGGGTTTAAACTCAGCCTTATGTGTTGGGTATTTTCAAGATAGGCTCTCACAAACTATTTGCCTGGGGCTGGCTGCAAACCTTGATCTACCTGATCTCTGCCTCCTGAGTAGCTAGGACTACAGGTGTAAGCCACAGGCACCCAGATTTATTTATTTATTTATTTATTTATTTATTTATTTTTAATACTAGGGGTGGAACTCAAGGTCTTGGACGTGTTAGGCAAGTACTTTACCATTTACCTAGGTTCCCAGCCCTATATGTTTTCTTTATTCAATGACAAAATCAGGGAGCCCTTTCTCCAGGACTGTCTGTGGAGGAAAGAACCCTGATGCCTGATACCTTGAGGCATGCATCTTATCTGCTGATGGACAAAGATGGTGTTCATGCCAGCTCAGGGACACACTTAGGGGATGATTTGTGTACAAACAGTGATCCAAAATGGGGTACAGGTCAGTTCACAGCCAGTGAGTCTAGGTGACAAGAAATCAAGTGTTCAGCTTTTTTCCTTTTTTGGTGGTACTGGGGCTAGAACTAAGGGCCTCACTCTCGCTAGGCAGGTGCTTTACCACTTGAGCTGTGCCTCCAGCCTTTTTGTTTTTATATTTTGTGTTTAAGAAAGGGTCTTGCTGATTTCAAACCTCTTGAGCCTCCTATCTCTGCCTCCCAAATAGCTGGGATTACAGACATGTCTGTCTGTCCATGTGTGTGTCCCATCCCTGTCGTCATGTCCTATCCAGGCCCCGCTCTATCATCTTCACCCCCAGCTTCACTGCTGTATTCTTGCAGCTTTCCCATTTGTTGTTGTTTTGGTTTTGGTTTTCTGCGCAGGCTCTCACTGTGTAGCCCAGTCTGGCTTGAAACTAACAATTCTACCTCTGCATTGTGAATGCCAGGATTAGAAATGTGTGCCAGCAAAAAAAAAAAAAAAGAAAGAAGTGTGTGCCACACCTGGCTTGAATAATTTTTTTCAAAATTAAGGGGAAAAAAAAAGGACTAGAGGTGTGGCCCAAGGAGTAAAGTGCCTGTTTTGCAAGCATGAAGCCCTGAGTTCTATCAAAATAAATAAATAAGGTGTACACAGTCTGGAGGAGGCTAGGGTGCGGCTCAGTGGCAGAGAGTTTCTCTAGCATTTGCAAAACTCATGATTTGATTCCCAGCACTGAAAGGAAACAAAATAAGGACCCAACATAATTTCAACTTTTTTTTTTTTTTGCAGTCCTGGGAATTGAGACAAGGCCTCCTGCATGCTAAACAAGCCTTCTACCACATGAGCCCTGCCCCCATCTCAATTTTTTGAGATAGGGTCTCACTAATTTTGCTTGGGCTGGCCTCAAACTCATGATCATCCTGCTTCTGCCTTGTGAGTAGCTGGGATTATCAATTTGAATTACCATGCTCATCTTAACTTCTTAAAATAGCTGTCCTCACCGGTTTGGGATCTAATCATTTATCAAGGCCTGGATTTGTGGTGTCTTCATATACAGAGGTCTGGGGCCCTACCAATGAACCTCTCCAGGAGGTGCACAGGGCCCCACAGTCTCCACATGGAAGACACTTCCTCAGGATGACCATGGGGCCTACTCTAGGGAGGAGGTAGCCAGAGACTGTCATTTTCTTCTTTATACTTTTCCGCATTTTCCAAATTCCCTATGACGTGCCTGGGTACTTTTCTAATTAGAAAGGAACAATAAACAGAAGTTTTAGCAGTGATAATCCGGCCTGCCCAGCAGCTGCCACAGGGAGGAGGTGGAGCAGGAGGAAGTTGAGCCCCTGACACAGCATAGGCCGATGTGGGAGTAGGAGGCTTCTCTCTCAATTCCCCAGGCACCAAAGCCTCCAGGCCTCTCCCAGCCTCTCCTTTCGTCCCTACACCTCATACTTGACACTCTAGAAACAAGGATCCCAAGAACCTGGCATGGCTGCTGAGTCACACCTCTGGGCCTTTGCCTGTGTCATTCGCCTGGCCTAGGCTACCATCCTTCAGACCTTACCTAACTCGTACCATCTCCCTAGACACAGCTACTCTGCTGCCTCCTTGGCTGCCCAGGCCCTGCTTGCAGCTCCTCCATGCTGGGTTCATCCCCACCCTGGCCAAACCACCATCCCCATCCACATGTCCCAGCCCCCAGCTCAGGCTCAGGAACTGCAGGGGACAGGGTGAAGGTCAGTTCCTTGACTCCAGCCAGGCAGGGAGCACACACGAGCACACAGCCACACAAAGGCTGTTGTGTCGGGTGGGGCATTTTCCAACACGTTCCACACTTTATGTAATGGTGTTAGAATGTTTTTGGAAGAATTAAAAAGAAAAATACTTGAGGCTCAGCTGACACCCATGAAGAGCACTGTGGGAGTCCTCAGGAACAGCCTGGCAGGGGGTGCCAGATAACACCAAGCCAGGCTGTTCTCATCCTCCAGCTCCTTCCAGAAGGCTCCAAGGCTTGATTGCTGATGCAGCCTCACAGGAAGCCATTAAGTCAGAAGGAACAACAGAAAGGTAGGTGGAGGTTCCTTCACCACAGCTAGATCAACCCCCAATCCCTGATCCCCAGCTGCTCACAAGTTCCCACTTAGCCCATTGGGCCTCAAGATACCTTAGCTATAAAATGGAGAGAAGAAGGCTGGGGATGTGGGTCAAGTGGTAGAGTACCTGTCTAGCAAGCTCAAGGCCCTGAGTTCAAACACCAATACCATAAATAAAATATATAAACAAATAAATAAATAAAACGGAGAGAAGTTAAGTGGTAGAATACCTGCTAGCATGTCCAAAGTCCTGGGTTCAATCACAGTACACACACACACACACACAGAGCATAGATGGAATTGGGTTGTAGTGATTTTTGGTTTTGTTTCGGTTTTTGTTTTGTTTTGGTGCTGGAGATTGAACACATTGCTTTTCACATGTTGAGTATTCATTCTACCACTGAGCTACACTCCCAGGCCCAGTGCTGTATCCACTATCCTGGAGCCTCTTGGAAGCCATGGTGAAAAACAAAAGCCTTGGGCTGGTAGAGTGGCCCAAGTGGTAGAGTACTGGCTTAGCAAGCATAACACCCTGAGTTCAAACCCCAGTACCAAGGGGAAAAAAAAAGCCTTTAGGTAGCACTTCTGGCCTAATAAAAAGCAGGTGACCAGCAGGGTGCCAGTGCCTCATGCCTATAATCCAATCCTAGCTACTCATAGAGACCAGGAGGACCTCAGTTTGAAGTCAGCCTGGGCAAAATAGCTCCAGAGACCCTATCTTGAAAAAACCCATCACAGAAAAGGGCTGGTGGAGTGGCTCAAGGTGTAGGCCCTGAGTTCAAACCCCAATACTGCAACAACAACAAAAAAGCAGGTGACCAGCACAGCACCAGTGACTCATCAGAGCTACCTGGAAGCGTAGGTATTTGGAAGGCTGAGATCAGGATAGAGGTTTGAGGCCAGCCAGGGCAAATAGTTTGGAGATCCCATCTCCAAAATAAGCAGAGTAAAATGTACTAGAGGTGTGGCTCGAGGGGTAGAGTGTCTGTTTTGCAAGTGTGAAGCCCTGAGTTCAACCCCAGTCCCACTAAAAAAAAAAAAAACAAAGAAAAAAGGAAAAGCAGGTGACCCGATGTTAAAAAATCTGTACTTCCTGAACTCTGCAAGGAACTAGCCTGGCACTTTATCAGGAACAAAGACCCACCAAGACAGAACTCTAGGAGCACAGAGGGAACTCAGGAAGCAAGTACTGATATGCACAGAGCTATAGTGGAGCAGAGCCCAATAGAAAGGGAAGAATTTGCGCCAAGGTCTTCTGCCTGCTCTGGTTGTCCTGTGGCCCCTGCTGACTCCCTCTGAACTCTCCTGCCCATGTTCTGAAGTCTCCTGAGCCTCACCCCTGACCTGTACAGTATGAGTGCTTGGGATCTGAGCCTCACCCCTGACCTGTACAGTATGAGTGCTTGGGATCTGAGCCTCACCCCTGACCTGTACAGTATGAGTGCTTGGGATCTGAGGCTCGGGCTGCAGCACAGTGTCTAGCTCAGAAAGGACAGGATAAATTCAGCAAAGGGCTTCCTGAGTGCTAAGTACAACCACCCCATTTTACACATCAGGGCATGGAGGATCAGAGAGGGGTAATCACCAGCTCAAGTGCACACAGATAAGAAGGGACAGGGCTGAACTGAGGTTCAAGAGCCCAAGTTCTTAGCACTGCCTCTGGAATGGGTGACAATAGCTAACCAGAATAAGGCCAGCCTGGGCAACACAGTTAGAACCTGTCTCAGAAAGAGAGAGAGGGGGGCTGGTGGAGTGGCTCAAGTGGTAGAGTGCCTGCCTAGCAAGCATGAGGCCCTGAGTTCAAACTCCAGTACCGAAAGAGAAAAAAAAAAAAAGCAAAACACAAAACCTTATCAAAGAAAGAGGGCGGGGGAGGGGCTGGAGGTATGGCTCAAGTGGTAGAGCTCTGCCTTGCAAGCAGAAAGCCCTTAGTTCAAACTCCAGTGCAAGAGAGAGACAGAGACAGACAGACAGACAGAAGAGCCAGGCACCTCAGGCAGACCAACCCTTCAGGGTCTTTTAAAAGAGCCTGTAGGTGACATCTTCTGCCCAGGGCCTCCTGCCAGCCCAGAAGTCCCACAGGTGCCCAGTATGGGCCAGCTGCCATCCCTCTGTTCACCTCTGACAGGGGAAGGCTGAGACTAAGACAATGAACATCACCGTTTGCCAGACTTCAAGGCAGAGGGGGCAAACCTGGCCAGACCCAGGTGTCCACAGCACAGCAGGTGGGTCCCCTGCCTGAAGGGGCATCATGGCTCTTCTCCCTCCCCTTAGATCTCGCTCAGACCCAAGTAAAGGAGAAAAGGCTCACGAGTGAGGTCCAAGGTAATGGAGCTGATGAATATCAGGTAAAGGGAGCTGGGGCGAGCTGGCAGGGGCAAGTTGGCCAGGGCAAGCTGACAGGGGCAAGCTGGGTGGGGGCAGGCAGAGCACTGGCTGGGCGCTGGAGGCCTCTCCAGGCCTCAGTTTCTCCATCCCTGACAATGACTGCATGCCCTGCGTCCCTGGATGTTGAGAGGAGGGAAGAAGGAAAGCAGGGGCTCTCTGAGGGGCAGTCTCATAGCCATGGGTTTCCCTGGAATGGCCCTACCCCAGGCTGCAGCCACTTGGGCTAGGCAGGCCAGAGATTTCCTGTACAAATGAGGATACCCAGAGAGGCCAAGGTGGCCTCCTGGTCAGAAGAGGTAAAGGCCAGGACCTGCCACTGCACCCTCCCAGCAACTTCGAGAGGTGAGGGTGGGCAGACCCATTATCCAGAGAGGGAAACTGAGGCGCAGAAATGTCACACTATGACTGAGGGCATCCTTGCAGCTCCTAGTGCTGGGTGATGCGACCTCTTCCCCAACCCAGCAACAGAAATTATCCTCTGCTCCTCTCTCCAAGAAGGTCCAGCTGCTGTTCCTGCCACCAGTACCCAAGCCCTAAATGAAGGTGCAGCTACTGGGACCACCAGAGGGGTGTCTGGGAGAACCTCTCCAGGCCCCCACCCCCTCCTGTCTGCAGCGGCATTAACATTCCGGGCTCCTGCCTAGCCTGACCTACTTCGGAGACTGGCGGCGTGCAGAGGGGGAGGGGAGGAAGGTGTGGGGGGGAGGCAGTAAGAGAGGAGGAGGTACCTGGCTTGGGCTTGGAGAAGCAGCCTCCCATGGTGAGTGGCCTGAGGACAGGAGGACGGCAGGAGCACAGATGGCTGGGCTGCTGGAGGCTTAGGACGCCCCCCATGGGGCTGGACCCCCTGGGGCCCTTAGAGATCCTGGAGCTGCCATCACAGCTGGAGCTGCCTCAAGGACCTATAGGGAAGACTGGGGGGACCACAGGACAGGCTTTGGGTGGGGAGACAGTGGAGTCAGAGACAGACTGGGAGTTTCTGGAAAAGTCCTACATCAGAGCTGGAGACCTTACAGAGCACCTCCTTTTGAGGCCCTCCAGGCTCAGCAACCCACGTCCCCCTCTTCCCTTTGCATGGGCTATGTCCATTGCCAAGAAACCCCCTCTGCCCAACTTCCATTCAGCTCTATGGCTGCCTGGTCCAGAAATCCTCCCTGATTTCTGCGGCTACTAAGGCCACCAACCCTCGACTTCCCTCTCCAAATCTCACTGCCAGGGAGCTCTGGGGACCTCCATTTTCCCAGGAGACCACCATACCTGGGTCAAACCCTCAGTCGCCTTTGGCAAACCGGAGAGACCTCCTGGTTTTCTCCTGCCTACAATGCAAGTGACATGGGGTTCTCCCTGGCCTCAGCTTCCACCCTGGCTGGCAGCCCCTGGACACCCACCTCCTCCTAGGGCAGCCACTGTTCCTTGCTCCCAGCCCAGCAATGGTTGGAGGCTGCTGAACCTTGGAAGGCAGGGTAGGGAAGGCAGGGGTCCAGGAGGCAGCCCAGCCTCCACCCCTTCTCCCAGTGGTAGCTGTGGCTAGGAGGGGTTGGGGGTGTGAGGCTAAGCCGGTCCACTGGTCCCCAGGGAAACCCAGCTCCGTGGTGAACAAGAGTGGGCGCCCAGCCCGGGACTAATGGGGTTGGGGGAAAGAGAAGCTAGGCACACAGCCCTGCCACAGCCTGTGATCAGCAGCCCATAAGCCCTGCCCCTATTCCCCTCCAACACCCCATGCTGAGGTCATGCCCAACAGCAGATAAAGAAACTGAGGGGCCAAGGTCTTGCCAAGGTCAAGCAGCAGGTGAGGGTATCTGTGTGGCCTGCCATCCCCCTCTTCACCTGGCCCCAGAAGGCCCCCCACCTAAGGACTTGCAAGACACCTGCCTGGAGGATGGGCACCTAGTCAAGAGAAAGATCACCACAGCCAAGCTGTCCTCAAGTGATAAGGTGGGCCTTCCAGAAGATATGGCTTCCAGGTGGACTTTGGAAGGCCTAGGACAAAGGTGTAGCTGCCCTGTTTACAACTGACCTTTTGACAACGTTCCATCCCTCTGTAAGCCCCCTGATTTCCCTGGAATGTTTTCCTGAAGTCTTACTTGGGGTGGGGCTGAGACCTACTTACTGCTCTAGCCTAGACCCCAGGAAAGGCTGTGCATGGGTGACTGACAGCAAGGAAGCCAAGAAGGAAGGAGGACAAGGGTGAGGAAGGCCCATCCTCTGGCTGGCCCTTGATCTACCTGCCCATTTACAGGTGAGAAGGCACCCAAAGCCTTTTGGGTGTGCTTAGCTCTTTCTCCCACTTGTCACCAAAGCATGTTTATAAAATTTAGCTGCCAGGGAGCACTTGCTGAGGTCCTGGTTTCACCTGTGGCTCCCAGCCCTACCCTCTTCCTCTCTGGTGGGTCCTCAGCCCTCATCTGCTGGGTCAGAGATCCCAGAACAATAGGACCTGGTCTTGCCATTGGCAACCTGGCCCAGCTGTCCCCACCCTCCACCCCACCCCCCACTTCCCAGGCACCCCAGGATCTAGACTCTCAGGGTCTCAGGCCTGGAAGGAGATTTGTGGGTCCACATCTTCGACCTGTGTTGTGCTTGGCCAGCCTGGATCCCAGGCACCGTTCAACTCAATGGCAAAGGTCCTTGTCTGGGCACGACTGGAGAGGCCCCTAGGTTTTGCAGAGTGCTGTCCTTTGTCCACAAGCTGCTAAGTTCCAATTGTGCCTAAAGCTAACTACCCACCAGGAGCCTGTTTACTGTCTCAGGCACCTCAGCAACCTGCAAGGCAGGTATTGCATTATTCCAGCCTCACAGGAGTGCGGGTCCTTTGGCCAGGGCACCCTGGGCACAGCAGGGGCAGGCTGGGCAGAGCCTCCTTAGATCTTTGACAGGACCCTCTTCCCCACTCCTGTGCCTGTCAATCCCTCCCTGGTCCCACTCTTCACCCCAGAGTAGCGGGGAACTCCTGACCAGCCTTGGCCTTCAGTGGCTTCAAGAGTCCTGGGGATGGTTCCTCAGCCCCTGATTCAAGTTTGGGGAGGGGGCTCTGCTCCCATCCCTCCCCCATGGGGCTCTAGCGCCACTCTCCCTGCCTTCGCACGTGCAGTTCCCTGGGTCTGGGAAGCAGTTTCCAGCAGCCTTGCCGGCTGCGTCCTGGTGCCCCCCGTCAGACCCAGCAGCCCAGCCAGCATGGCTGGCACACAGTAGAGTCCCACGGGGAGCTGGGAGGGAGGGCCAGCGGGAGAGAGGGCAAGGATGAGGGGCGCTCCAGCCCCAGAGGATCTCTGGTGTCGGCTGCCGACCCCCAGCCCCCAATGCACGGGTCCCAGGTCCAAGACCCACGAGTTTGCGCGCTGATGGGTGGCGCATGGATGCGGGGTCCGGGAAGCGGGGTGGGATCCGAGGTCCCGGGGTCCCGGGGTCCCCGGGCGGGCGCTCACCTGGGCTCGGCGCGGTCCTGGGCTCTGGAACCGCTCGGGGCCGCGGCCACTCGGGGGGAGGGGGGGTGAAGGGGGGGCGGGGACGGGGGAGGAGCGGGCGGGGGCGGGGCCGGCGCTGCGGCTGCACTGCGGCCAGGCGCCTGTGGCGCCCAGCACCGCCCCGCCCGGCCCGGCAGGTGGGGGCCGGACCAGGGTCAGGGGTCACGCCGGGGGCCTAGGCGTAGTGACCAGAGATGCGGAGTATGAGGACGCTATCGAGACCTTTGTGACGTGGTTGCCTCGGGATCTGGTCCCGTGAGATCCTCCCGATCTCCGAGGATGACAAGCTGGCCTCCGCTCAGAGTCTGGATCTTTAAACCATCTGGGGCGGCAAAGGGAAAGTTGAATCTCTGGGTGAAACCTCCCCCAGAAAGGAAACTCAGATTACCCCCCTGGGCCCCTCGGGGACCTTCACTCACTTGGGGTGTTCCATCTCCCAGGTCTCCTAGCTCCTTCCTTCCTACCTCTCTCCCCACACATGCCGGGTCTGTTTTTATTTAGTTAGTTAGTTTTGCAGTACTGGGGTTTGAACTCAGGGACTACACTTTGAGTCACTCCACCAGCCCTTTTTTGTGATGAGCCTTTTGGAGACAGGTCTCTCGAACTGTTTGCCTCAGGTTGGCTTCGAACACAATCCTCCTGATCTCTGCCTCCTGAGTAGCTAGGATTACAGGCGTGAGTCACCAGCGCTCTGTCTTAAATTCTATTTTGTTACATTTTTTCCCCATCTGTCATTATTCCAAGAGAATGTCCTGGTGCACACCAATATTGTGCTTCCTCTCCAGGGAGCCCCTGATCAGCCTCCCCAGGCCTGATTAGGCACCCTTTTTCAGGCCCCTAGCACATGGGTGTTTCATTGCCTACTCTGTCCATCTATTCTCCCTCCCTGTGCAGCTGTGGTCAGGTAGCACTTGTCCTTCCAGTACATTGGCTGCTGTGACACACATTCAGGAAAGTGATGTTACACCCACCTACTGCTAAACACATGGGGTCCACCAGCTCTGTAAGGAAGGGCAATCACCGGCCTCCTTCTCCCAAACCATTTCACAGATGGGAAAGTAGCTCAGGAGGGTTGAGTCTTTTCCAAGAACAGGACCAGGGCCTGAATCGGTCACATTTAGGGCAGATGATGTGCAGCCTCTGCTTGGAGGGCAACCATGGCCAATCGGGGCAAACTTTTGTGGCTGAGTGTGATTTCCATTGAGCGACTGTTGTTCTGCCATTGGAAAGGCCCCATTGCTGGGCAGATAGTGCTGCTTGGGCCTGTTGCCCTTGGCCTCCAACTACCCAGTCAGTCTCTGTTCTACACACATGCTGCTCTTGCTCTCCCCTTGCCCCCACCACCCTCAGACTCCCACCCTAGCCAGAAAGACAATATGTCCTATAATTAACCATGGCTGTGACTTCATATGCATTTATTCTTTTTGAGGTTTTGAGACAGAGTCTCCACATGTTGCCCAGCCTGGCCTGGAACTCACAATACTCCTTCCTCAGCCTCCCGAGTGGCTGAAATGTAGGCCAGTGCCACCATGCCTAGCTCAGCATTTATCCTTTTAATCTTCACAAATAACATGAAGGGAAATTTTCTTTTTATCATCTGTATTTTATAGGTGGGGAAACAGGTTCTGAGAGGTTAGGAACTCCCCAAGGATACACAGCTGATAGGTGGTAGAGCTGCAACTTGAACCCTGGCTGGTCAGTTGTGCTGGGGTTTGAGGTAGAGATTTGGGAGTGGGAGGGGAGAGGCCTTCCAGGGTCAGCCAAGGCCATAGGGTGTGAGGTGCAGAGTTCAAGTTCTGCCCCTCTGCCCCAGCTTCCTCAGGACACATGGGGGTAATTACAATGTTCTCAGACTGCTGGCAGGACAATCCAACAGGTGCAGAGCCAGGCATGGGATGTAGTTGGTGCTCAGGAAGTGAGGTAAGTGCGTCTAAGTTTGAGCTGCCAGAGAGGAAACTGGGTGGGTGAAAGTCTGTATGGGGGCTTTGAGAAGGCTGATCACCTCTGGGGCGACACCCTGAGATGGGGCAAGTCCATCATGGCATCCTTGGCTCAGGTGACTGAGCTTGAGGTTCCTGCTGCCCCACAGGGTAGAAGTAGCAAGATCTTCATAGAGCAAAAGCTAAAACCAAAGACAAACTAGGAAAACCACCTCCAGCTAGGTGCCAGTGACTCATGCCTATAATCCTAGCTACTCAGGAGGCAAAGATCAGGAGGATCACAGTTTGAAACCAGCCCAAGTAAATAGTTCACAAGACCTTACCTCAAAATACCCAACACAAAAAAAGGACTGGT